GCATACATTATACGAAGTTATACGAGACACGCCGACGTCGCGCGCGTCGACACCCGCCCGGCGCTCGACGCGGCGGGCGGCGCGGGCGGCCAAGGGCGGCTACGGCTACAACGACGCCGAGGACGACGGCGCCTACTTTAACCGGCTCGAGGTCGAGTCGCGGCGCGCCCCGCGGCCGCTGTCGCCAGCCGCGGCCGAGCGGCAGGGCAAGCTGTACGCCATCAAGGAGGCGCAGAAGTCGATCAACAACATGCACCTCGAGAACATGGTGATGCAGGCGCGCAAGGTGTGCAACCACCCGTTCCTCTTTGACTGGCCCATCGACCCGGACACGGGCAGCTTTGTCGTCAACAAGAACCTGATCAACGCGAGCGGCAAGATGCTGATGCTCAACCGGCTGCTCGACGAGCTCTTTGCGCGGGGCCACAAGGTGCTCATCTTTAGCCAGTTTACGACGATGCTCGACATTATCGAGGACTGGGCCAACGAATACAAGGAGCTGCGGACGTGCCGGATCGACGGCTCGACGTCGCAGGTGGACCGGCGCGAGCAGATGCGCAGCTTCAACGAGGACACGGGCCCGGACGCGTGCAACCTCTTTTTGCTGAGCACGCGCGCCGGCGGGCTGGGCATCAACCTGGTCGCGGCCGACACGGTGATTTTCTTTGACTCGGACTGGAACCCGCAGATGGACCTGCAGGCGCAGGACCGGGTGCACCGCATCGGGCAGACGAAGCCGTGCCTCATCTTCCGGCTGGTGAGCGCCAATACGGTCGAGCAGCGCATCCTGAAGCGGGCGGGCAACAAGCGCAAGCTCGAGGCGCTCGTCATCCAGCAGGGCAAATTTCGACTTCCCGCCGGCTACAATGCCGGTGGGGCTGGGGGTGTCAAGAGGAAAAAGGAAGACGAGATGGCAGAGATGGCGTCCAACCTGCTCAAGCTCGAGGGCGAACAGGTGCAGCTGGCCGGCGAAGACGACGAGATCATCAGCCAGGCTAACCTCGAAAAACTCCTCGATCGCAGTCCTGCCGCCTACGAGCGCCGTACCGGCTGGGTCACGAGCCGATCCGGCGGCGAGGGCGACGAGGCGGGTGGCCAGGCCGCCTTCGAGGTCACCGAGACCGTCGTCGATGAGGCCAACGAGGAGATCGCCAAGCTCCTCGCGGGTGGTGGCGGCAGTGGTGGCGATTGATGACGCGGCGGCGGCAGGGCGCTACGGGCGTGGCACGACGGGCTGCTGTCGATTGGCCCCACGGGCGGGCGGACGGTGTCTATCTAGCGAAAAAAGGGGGGCGAGACGGGTTGCCCCCCCACGGTCTCCGTAGACGAATTCCAACTCATCTATTACCCTCCTCTGCCTTGCCTCCGGTCTCTCCAACACTGCTGGCCGTCTGCGACGTTACGCCGCCTTGGCCTCAACGCTCTGCTGATCGTCGACGACGCCGTTCGCCTCTGTCTTGGTCTTGGAAGACGACGGCTCAGCGGCGAGGAGCGACCAGCCGAGGTGCTGCACCGTGTCGAGAATAGCATCGGCGAGCCAGTCAAAGTCGCTCTCCTCGAGCCAGACCTGCGCGCTGACGCGGAACCAGATCGTGTCGGCGTGGACGTAGAAGGGCACGAAAGTCGGGTACCGATCCGCCAGCGCCGTCTGGAAGCGGCTCGCGACGAAGGCGAGCGAGGGCATCGCCTCCGCCTCCGCCTCCGCGCTGCGCAGGCTGTCGAGGTCGAGGGGGAGGCTGACGTTGACCATGGAAGACGTGAGGATGCGGTTGGGCGCGAGGTCCATGACGGTGCTGCCGTGTCCCAGGCGGCGCGACAGGATCTCGCCGCCGCGCTGGGCTAGACGCGTCGTGTAGCCCATGATGCGGTCTTCGCCGCCCAGCCAGCGTCGAAATTCGAGCGCGGCGGGGATGCAGAGGAAGTTGGACTGGTCCTGCGTCCCGTTGCTCTCCCACACCGCCACGTAGTTGGACGGCGCGTCGGTCGGGATCAAGGAGGGCCCCTTGGCAGGGGCGTCGGTCGGCGAGACGTAGTAGTGCGATGTGGGCATGCCCGGTACCAGGTGTTGGTTCCTGCACGCCGGCACGAGCGGAGAAAGAGTGGAGCGCGAAAGGGAGCGCAGTCGGCATGTCAGATGTCGAAGTGGGTGGGACGGGCGCGAGGAGGGGAGGAGCGGCCAGACTCACCGCTTGGGCGTGTACAGGAACGCGCAGCCTCGGTGGGCGCTGAGCCATTTCTGCGAGAGGGTCCGAAAGGGGCGGAAGGGCGAAGGGTCGGAAGGAGAGGAGGCTGTCAGACGACGGCGACGACGGACTGAGAGAGACGCTGCAACGCCATGGACCAGGAACGACCACGCACATGGCAGTTTGACACAAAAAAGTCCGGGTCGGCGTCGCGCAGGTTGAGCGGGATCTGACCGACGGCGTGGGCGCCGTCGACGAGCGAGAGGACGTCGTGCTCCCTGAGCAGCTGGACTGTCTGCTGCCACGGCACGACGACGCCGGGCAGCGACGAGATGGTATCGAGGATGGCGACGCGGACGCGCACGCCGTCGCGCTTGGCCTGGTCGAGGGTCTCCCTGGTTCGCTGCAGGAAGTCGTCGTGGGCGATGGGGTAGGTGACGGGCACCTTTACGACGCTGAGCTGGAGCGAGGGGTGCGAGTCGACAATGTACTGCGCCGTGCGTCCGCAGGCGCCGTAGACGGTGTCGTAGACCAGGATGGCCTCGCGCTTGGTGGCCGACCAGGTGCCCGCCATGCCGCGCAGGATGGCATTGACGCCCGTGGTGGCGTTGGTGAGGAGGACCAGGTCCTCGACGGGGCAGTTGACGAGCTGCGCCAGCTCCTTGCGAGAGCGCTCGAGCAGGGGCTTGAAGCCGGTGCGCATCCAGATGTCGGGGCGGCGCTCCGACTCGGCGAGGTAGTGCTTGTAGGCCTCGAGAACGTGGTTGGGGCAGGTGCCGAAGGAGCCGTTGTTCTGCAAGAGAGCGGCAAGACGGACGGGGAAAGGGCCAGTTAGAACGCGGGCTTAAGGTGTCCTGGTCGACGACGACGGCGACGCTGCGGTGCTCACGAGGTTGACGTAGTCGTCGTCGAACGAGTAGAGCTTCTTGCAGGCGTGGCCAAAGGGGGGCGGCGTGGCTTTGGCCAGTTCGGCGCTGAGGCCATCGAGCTTTTCCTGGAGCGTGGTGGCGGCCATGGCGGAGTGCGAGGCCGAGGGCAGGGCAATCGAGCTTCTAGAGAATCGAGGACTGGGGAGCACGGCAGATGAGGGCGTCGAGGTAGGAGAAGAAGCCACCTTAAGTACGGATCGAAGGCCGCTGTCCTACGGCCGACCCGCGAGGACCACGACTGAACGTGGAGCACATGGCTGGACCCTGGCTGGCAAGACCGGCCAGATACATAGAGGCTTGACTTGGGCACAGCCCAGATGCTCGCCTGCCTTGGGTCCAAGGCAGTCCGACCCGACCGACTGGACCGGCCGATCCGAAGCAGGCAGGGCTGCCACGGCGTGATGGCCTGGCCTGGCCCGACCTGGCTGAGCATGCTTCGGGAGCGGAGTCGAGCCGACAGGCAGGTGGAGGAGCCGAGGAGCTGGCTGCCGGCGGGCCCGCTATGTGACTCCAATTCCCGCTGGAACGGAATTCGCCAGAGCGGCCCGCGAAATTGGCCGTTGACCTGGCCGCCCTGCCTTGCCCAGCCCGCCCTGCCTTGCCCCGCATCGGACGCCCACCTCCGGCTGCCTCCTGTCTCGAGCTTGCTCGCTGTCGTCGTCGTCGTCGAGCGAGAGTAGTGACTCGCTGGCTCGCAGCCGTCCATCGATCATTATCCACCTCGCTGGTCCCTCTCTAGCCGCCTCTCGCATCGATACGAGGACAGCTGTCAAGTGGGGTGCGCCATACCCACCTGCCAGCAAGCTACATTGGCCGATCCAGCCAAGTCCCCGTACTCGGGCCCTCCGATGCCCTGTCGAACGGGTTGAGGACAGGTACAAAGGCGGGCGCGAGTCACACCATCGCCTCATCGCCCTCCTCACCGCGCTTCTCTCTGAAGACTACACGAGTCACCGCGATACCGACCTTCTGCTCGCTGTTTGCCACCATCGCAGCACCCCATCCGGCTGACGATATAGACAGCACAACGACCCACGCCGCGCCGCACGACAGCCTCGACTAACGACCTCGACCAACGACATCACCACTGCCCTAGACCGACGTTTACCTCCTTCGTCGACGACTCTACGCTTCTTCTGCCCGGGTAGACCTCTCTCGGAACATCCGAGCCCACCCTCCGACCGCTGCCCAGCTGCTCTTTCTTCTTTGAATCATCGCCATGTCGGCCCGTTCCGATGAGCCAGGGCGGCTTTCGGCCCGAAGCCCGCTCAATGACGGCGCAGAGGAGCGTCAGCCGCTGCTGACGGCAGCGTCCTCGCCTTCAGCTGCTGCATCGCCCGCCGTCAACGCCGTCGGCGACGCCGAGAGGCAGGCCAGCCCGCGAAACAAGGCCATGTCGGCGAGGGCCGCGACGCCGTTGCCGTGGCGCAAGCTGTCGATCCTGATGGCCATGCGCCTGGCCGAGCCCATCAGCTTCACCGTCATCTTCCCCTTTGTCAACGCCATGGTCTACGAGATCGGCGCGACCCGCGACAAGGCAAAGGTCGGCTACTACGCCGGCCTCATCGAGAGCCTGTTTGCCTTTGCCCAGTGCTGCACCATCCTCTTCTGGGGCGGCCTCTCGGACCGCGTCGGCAGGAAGCCCGTCCTCCTCTCGGGCCTCGTCGGCGTCTCGTGCTCCATCATCCTCTTTGGCCTCTCGCGCACCTTTATCGCCGCCGTCTTCTCGCGCGCCCTCGCCGGCGCCATCAACGGCAACGTCGCCGTCGTCAAGAGCATGGTCGGCGAGCTCACCGACCAGACCAACCAGGCGAGGGCCTTTAGCCTCCTCCCCCTCGTATGGTCCATCGGCTGCTTCATCGGCCCCCTCCTCGGCGGTTACCTCTCCAAGCCCGCCCAGCAGTACCCCGCCGTCTTTGGGCCGGGCGCACCGCTGGAAATGGACGGGTTCTGGCAGACGTACCCCTACTTCCTCCCCTGCGCCGCCTCGGCCACCATCACGCTGCTCAGCATGCTGTTTGGCTCCGTGCTCCTCGAAGAGACGCTTCCCAGCAAGCTGCAGGCAAAGGAACAGCGGCGACGGGGGCAGCAGCAACAGCAGGCCGAGGTCAGGGCAGGTGGGCAGCGTCGCCCTTCTGCGACCGGCAGCACGGCTCACGTCCGAGCGGCATCCGCCGCGCCTTCAACCAACGACAGCCGTTATGGCGCCACCGCGACGCAGCCCAACCCCCTCGCTCAGGCCGCTGGCATGCGCCCCATCACGGTACGCCACAATCGCGGCCGTTCGACGGCGCGCGTCCTCGCCCACGTCCAGAGCTGGGCCAGCGGCTTCACGCCCTCGGGCTCGCCAGCGGGGAGCCGCGACGCCAGCCGGGCCGTCAGCCGTTCCGCTTCACCGACCCGCCAGAGTCAGGTCGGTTGCGCCGCTCCGACAAGGGAGAGCGCTGCAGCTGACCGCTCAGCGAACCCCGAAGCGACTTCCGCCGACGACGCGGACGATGCCGCCAAGCCGACGGGCATCCTCGGGCTGCTCTCTATCCGGCAGATCCAGAGCGTGCTGCTGTCGTACGCCTGCCTCTCGTTCATGGCCGTGGCGCTCGACGCGGTGCTGGTCCTGTACCTCTTTGAGCCCATTGAGCTGGGCGGGCTCGGCTTCGACACCGAGCACACGGGCATCCTGCTCAGCCTGACGGGGCTGGGCGGCATCATTGTCCAGCTCGTCCTCTTTCCGCCACTGCACCGCCGCATGGGGTCGCTCAAGCTGTACCAGGCTTCCATGTGGGCCTTTCCGCTCTCGGTCACGCTCCTCCCGCTCGCCAACGGCATCGCCCGAGTCGGTCTGGCGGCGTCGTCGTCGTCGCGGCTGAGCAGCACCGATGCGTTTCTGCTTTTCGAGGCCGAGGGCGGCGGTGGGAGGAGCAGCGACCTGCCGCCAAAGTACGTCGCGCTCGTTTGGACCGCCGTCGTCTTTGCCAACGCGCTCAAGGTCGTGGGTGGCATGGCGTTCAGCTCCAACATGATCCTCGTCAACGAGTGCTCGCGGCTCACCAAGGGCGCAGCGCTGGGTACGCTCAACGTGAGTGTGTCCGGTCATTGCCCTGCCCTGCCCTCCCCCTCCCACTGTGGTCCACTTCGACGACTGACCATCACCCTCTCTCTCTTCCCCTGGCCTCGACGACCCACGTACAGAGCCTGGCGCAGCTATCGGCGAGTCTGACGAGGGCAATAGGTCCGTATGTCGCCTCGACGCTGTTCGCCTTTAGCGTATCGCACAACCTCCTCGGCGGCCAGTTTGTCTGGCTCGTCCTCTTCGTCGCCGGTCTACTCGGCTCCCTCACCTGTCTCCTCATCCGCGACCTCGAAAAGGAGCGAGAGGACCAGCAGCAGCAGCAGCAGCGTCAGCTCCCCCAAGCAGCGGCGGTGGCTGAGTAGGCTTCAAGTGCCGCTGAGGGCGCCTGGCCTCATTTTGCTCCTGCTAGTTTTGTAGTTGATAGATGCTCGTACCTCGTCCATTTGTAGATGTCACTGCAATTGTCGCAACCCCCAGTGAAGCGATGATGTGAAGGAATGTGGATGGTGGTAAGGTCGGTGTAGCGCGTGAGCCCCGCCATGTTGAGAGGAGCAAACGGGGGCCATGCAGAGGGTTCAAGAGGGCCGCGACTGATGCAGGCATGCTGCTGCACTGCCCCAAATTGGTCTGTTGCAAAGTGATACTGAAAGAGGCTCTGTCTGGCTAGACAAAGCCACCCTCGCCCTGCTCGACAGCGAGCCTAGCGGCCTGTTCCGACACCTCGATATCCCACGTCTCGCCGCCGACCAGCCGCTTATCGAGGCAACCACCCGCGACGTGGCTCTGCACCTCGTCCGCCAGCGCGCTCAGTGCGGCGTCGGCGGCTTGGTCAGAGAGCTGCCCGAGGCGCTGCGACAGGGGACGTACCCATACCTCGTCTAGGCGGGCCAGGACGGCGGTTCCGACCGGGTCGGACTGGAAGAGGTCCGATATCGAGGCCAGTACGGGTAGGACGTGCGCCTTGCCGCCTCGAAGCAGCGCGACCACGTTGGAGAGGACGGATAGGGAGAGGTGCCAGTGTCGGTACAGCGGCACGACGAGCGCCCGCCGCATCGTCGCCCGCAGGGTAGCTAGAAGACGACGTTGCGGCATCGTCGCTCCTATCCCCCCCCTTGTCCCGGACGTCGGTTCGAGCGGCAGCGAGGCGGAGCAGAGGGTGCGCGACAGCTTGGCAATGGTCCAGCTCGACTCAACCGTCGTCTCGCCGTAGTTGGCCTGCATCTCGTAGAGGTAGCCAAACAAAAGCTGGACCAGCACCGACGCCGTCTCGTCGTCCAGGCTGCCCGTCGTTGTCGTCGAGGGGATGGCAGCAGCGTCGGCGGCGGCGAGTGCGGCGGCAGCGACGATGGGCGGCCGGAAAGAGACGAGGGCGGCCATCTCTCCGTCAAAGTCGAGGTAGTTGTCGAGGTAGATGCCCTCGTCCCACTGCTGCTCTTCGTACGCCTCGGCCTGGAGCGCACGGTCGGATGGCGGGACGGAGGCCGGGTCCGAGACCTCGAGGATGTTGCGCACGTCTGCCTCGCCGCCCGGCACGAGGGGACCGGTGAAGGCGGACCGGAAGCCGTAGCCGTGGCCGTGCGCTTGACTGGACGCCGGGTGCGATGAGGATGGAGCTGCGGCCGTCGAGGGCAGAGGCTTGGATGAGGCGGGTGCGTCGAGGTCGACCAGGCCGGCACTCGTCATGCCCCGCTGTAGCAGCCGGTGGACGTCGCGGTCGCTGTCGTTGTCGTGATCGCGGTCGGCCGCTGTCCCGGACGCTATTGGCTGCCCCTGCGCCTGATCATCGGGGGCAAAGAGGCCCTGCTTGGCCTCCATGTCCCTCTGCATGGCTCCGACCTCGTCGTCGGGCATGAGCTGGGGCTGGAGCGCCTCGAGGCCGTCCCACAACCCGGCGGAACCCTTGAGCAGGTGGACGGTGTACACGGCCGAGGCGCCATCGTCGGAGAGCGCCGGTGCGACGTCGTTTGTGGCGGGTGCGACGAGGGGTGCGGGAAAGACGAGCGGGAGGTAGTAGGATGCGCAGTGGAAGGCAAAGATGCGCGACGAGACGGCCGTCTTGGCCGCGGGGGGCGCGGCATGCGGCGAGGTGGCGGCGGCGGCCGAGGCAGGGAGGGTGATTGTGATGTCGAGCGAGGTGGGTGTCTGGGCTATGCTGTACGAGGGCACGAGGAAGCCGTCCATGTTGGGGTCGTTGGCCTGCGCCGTGGTCGTCGTCGAAGCGAGGGAAAGGCAAGAGGTGGCTGGCTTGGTGGTGGTGGAGCAGAAGAAAGACGGACGCGGGTGTGCTGCATGCTGCCAACTACTCCTGACACTGACCCCCTAACAACGACGACGACGACGACGCCGACGCCGACAACTGTGGCCTCGCCGCACCACCGGCCGCGCCGTCTTGGTTCATCGCCCACTACCACCTCTGTGCTTGTTGGCCCAAATCCATAATCTCATCACACGGCAACCCCACCTCACTCGACACCATGTCGGCCTCGTCACCACCTGCCCCGGCAGCTGGGCGCGCCGATAACCGCGGCCACCGCTTTTCCCTCTCGGTGCGCTTCGCGGCCCTTGATAGGACCGTTGAGCTGTACGACTTCTTCTTTGCCCTCGACTCTCCCATTCTCACCGATGGCTACGGCTTCAGCACCCCTCCGCGCAACAAGGTGCGACCCGTCATGCCATGAACGACGTCGCTCCACCTTTCTCTCGGCACTCTGGTCCAGACCGCCCTCGCAACGTTCGGTCTGGCCGCCACGTCTTGCGAGTGCTTTGCCACCCTTGGCCCAACGTACCGTCACCGACGACCACGTCTGCAGCCCCTCGCTGCCCGGCTGCGCCAGGGTCGAGGTCGATGCGCAGGGTACACAGGCGACGGCGGCGCAGCTCGCCGCCCCGCTCCTGTATGCGCCGACCAGCGTACTCGTCGTCATCACCGCGCCGCTGGTCCATCCCCAGCCCGTGCTGGTCGTCATCTTCACCGACCGCTCAGCAGCCAAGCGTGATGACCATCTCCGGCGAGCCATGCGGCAAGCTTTGTCGACCAGGCTGCTCGCACGCTGCGCTGTTACACGCCAGCCCGACCCCGACCAGCGTTGCCTCGAGGCCGCCCACATCGTCCCCAAGACTGTCGGTGACGCAATCTCCCAGCTTGTCGGCCTCTTTGCACCGAATTTTGCCCGCAGCGCTCCCGTCGATCCAACCGGACACATACGAGCGTCGCTCGAGGCCCAAGACATTCACGGCCTCGCCATCATGGACGTCCAAATCTCACCGCTCAAGTTTGACGCTGGCATCAATTCTCTCACAAACGGCATCTGGCTTGAGCCCTCGGCTCATCGCAGGTGAGAGCAGTCCCGGGCTGAGCAGAGCTCCCGATTGGCTTGTCGACAATGGCAGCCATGCTGACAGGACCCGGGGAGCTCCGACTTGTCTTGCGGCGGCGGCGGCGGCACAGCTTCGACGCGCACCGCTTTGCCGTCCTGCAAGGCCGGCTGCTGCCCCTCGACGACTTTGTACCCTGGCACCTCGATGCGACCGCCTGGGTCTCGGGCGTTGACAGTGACGATCCTCGATATGAGACGCTGGACCGCCCGCTCGACACCTACCGAAAGGAGCGGAGGGCCCTCTCCCTGACTGCGGCCGAGACCGACCTGGTGCGCTACTCGGTCAAGCCCGGCTGCATCGAGGCCGACGTTGAGCAGTGGCTTCTCTTTCACCTCAGGGTGAGTGTCTGATTTCTGTTCCGAGCAGTTCCAAGGGTCGCTCCGGGTGTCGGCCCGCTGACAAGATTGCCTCGGTCTCGCTGTGCGCACGCCGACAGGCGGTCTACGACATCTACGAGGCCTACCGACCCAAGGGCACCCGCAAGGCGCTCGAGGAGATCTTTGGCATAGCGAAATCGGGCCCTCGCGCCGACATCGCGGGGCAGGGCTTTGTCGATTTCTGCCAGCTGGCGTTCAAGACGAGGACGATGCTCGACCTGCGCGGCGATGGCCAAGTCGCTCCGGATCCTACCGGCACGGAAGAGAACGCGGGCAGTCTGGCGAGCAACGACGACGACGGCGACGACGGCGACGAAGATGATGATGCTCGCACCGTGACGCCGAGGTGGTGTCACTGCCACAGAGGTGGCGATGAGAACAGCGCCGACGAAGATGACGACGACGATCAGGAGGCCGAGATGGGACGGGGCTTTGTCGACTTTTTCCAGCTAGCTTCCAACGCGAGGGCGATGCTGGGACCGCGCTGAGCCGGGTCGCAATGCCGCAGGTCGATATCGATCGCCAGTTTAACAAGGTTGTCGTCGTCGTTGTTGGCGGCGATGGCGGTGGCGGTGATGGTGATGGTGGTGGTGGTTTGGGATCTGCCCTGCTGCCAAAACCTCTTTTTCATGGGCCCCGCGTTTGGAAGAAGTAGAGGCCAAAGGGTTCATGTCCGAGTCGCGACTTCCGCACTTTTGGAACGTCCGCCCTGCCTACTGTTAGCGAGCGGGTCTGGGAGCTCAGCCTCACCTTCTTCTTCCACCACGCCTCGCATCGACGGTCCCCACCCGCACCCGCCTCGCCGCTCGCACCATGACCGGGTCGCCGTCATCATCGCCGCCTCCAAACTGGCCAAGCCACCTCCCCTACCTCTCCACCACCTCGATCCCCTCCCCGCTCCTTCCGCCATCACTGCACGGCCGATACTGCACCGCGCCGTCCGACACCACACTGCCCGTCCGCGCGACCCAGTACCGCCGTATCAAGGTGGGGATACGACGCATCGACGCCGATACGCCATTCATCCCGCGCACCTTCGTCGGTCCCTCCCCTTCCTCGACGCCGCGTGCGGTTGGCGGTGAAAAGGGGACGGGACGACACCCGGCGTTGGGGCAGTACGGTCTATTCGCGCTGCAGGATATACCACCGCACACCTTCGTACGGCCCTACCTCGGTGTCGTACACGTCGACGCCGAGTCGGACAGGGAAAGCGAGTACGATATGAAGGTCGAATACCTCCCCCACGACGGTATCGGGTCGGTCGCTATCGATGCGACGTCGTGCGGCAACGAGGCTAGATGTGCGTTTCCTCCCCCCCC